TCACGCTTATGCAGCAGAGATATATTAAATGTGGGGGGTCACAAGAGTTAAAGCCAGATATAAGGGAGACAAATCAGACAAGAATACAGACAATTTAAGATTAAAAAAAGAGGGAGTGGAGTCATGTGATGATATATAAAAAGGGTGCAACACAACAATATAGACGACACGTATTCCCATTTGAATCATTTTAATGATGCGTCCAGGCGGATGAGAGTGAAAAACACGTGCTTATTGTTGGTGTTCAATGTGCTGATCACAAAGTGTAATAACTGACACCTTTTGCAGTACATGGTTCAAGAATCACATTCATAGGGGGTTTCTGATTAAAGGGCCTGAAAAAGTGTCAGTATGGATTTTCTCTATATGTTGGACACGCAAAGGAAAACCTCATTTTCAAAGCATCTTTTTCTCCCTTCTTCTGGCAGCAGTAACACATTGCAGTCTGTGTGCTCGTTCTATTCTCCTGCAGGATGTAAGCGATAAAGATCCCTCTGTATAAAGTGTACGGTGCCAAACATGAACTTGTCAATATGACATTCAAATGACAGCAGTTTGATTAAACTTTAACACCAAACCGCCTCTGAATGCAAGCGTTTGTGTATAGTGTATTTGCATTAAAATGGGTATGGATCCATCTTAAACACTTTGCTCAATATAGGCTGCGGGGAAAGACCACTGATGATCTAAACTAGACCGTCCCTCATGCTGGAATCATTTCCAGGTTTAATAACGATACTAAACCAATACCTTTTTGATTCATGGCGCTTCCAAATAAGAAATATTTAATAGGCTGTTTGAAAAAAACTTTATTTTGATGTGTTGGAAAAGTGGTAGTGGGGTGAAAAACACTGATAACTGGAAGCATAACTACTTTAAAGACATCATATACAGCCTCCTGAAGAAGGGGACTTTTTACTTTTATCAGTGGAGGGTCATGGTGTAATTGATGCTGTTGTAATCGTTGACACAACCGCATAAAACATTTGAATTTACAAACTCATGTGCTGCTTCTGAGCATTTGACATACTGTGCTGGTTGCTTGCAGAAGTTTTCCATAAGATGCAAACAAATGTTGATGCCGTTAATCCATCATATTTCATGGTCAATACATTGCATATAATTATGTTTGTAGTACATAGAGTAAACTTCAACTGGCTGCAGCAATTAGATCCATAATGTTTGCATGCAAAGATCCATTTTGCAAGCTTTATATTGTACGTGTGTGCGTAGCTGTGTGTGTGTGTGTGTGTGTGTGTGTGTGTGTGTGTGTGTGTGTGTGTGTGTGTCCGGGCTCCATTGTGCTGACTGGTTTATTGCTGTTCCAGGTGACGGAGCATGAGAACAGCAGAGCTTCAAGGTGCTGCTTTCAGGCACCACTGAAGCCACAAATTTGATTATTTTTTTTCCCCTCCACAAGTAGTTTGGAGTTTGCATGAGGCCCCTCCCTCCCCCCCCTTCCCTCCTCTCCCTCGGCCACACAATCTCACGCACACATACACAGCAGCCACAGACTGCCGTGCACCGCATCTCCTCTGAGTCCAGCAGCCTGCATTATGCATCATCATCTGCCATTGTGGTTCCGTTCAACTTCTCTTGTTACAGTGAATCTGCAGCGTTGAACGTTCTGCTGAGGTTTGTTGTTGCCCTTTGTGGCAGGTACTCTACATCTTACTCTATGTATCGGATACATAAAACATTCACAATTCATTCAAGATGCATCTCAAGAATACTAGATGTACGAGTTGGAAAATGAAAAGAAAGGGACCTGAGAACTTCACTTTATCCGTCCCATAAAGCCTCTGTGTCTTTCTCTGATCCCCTTTGGGGGTGGAAGTGGCCACACAGTCCTGTCACATCAGGGGAAGTTTAAACAAGGAGTGTCATAGTGACACAGTGATTTTGAAAACGGGACAATAGAAGCTCTTTCTCTAGAGAAATCTCCTAAAAAGGAATCTCCTCCAAAAACTGTCTTGTTTCTATTTATTCATTTAGACTTTTTGAATCCACCTTTCTTTTACCTTCTTGCTATCTTACATGCTACATTATGCTAAAAAAGGGCCTAATCAACTTTACACTTTGGATTTGTTGGGAAATCCACTATATTTGACGATATACAGTGTGCAACAGTCCTTTAGTGAACGAAAGCAAACAATGTTAATTGTAATGTTTTGAAAGCTACAGTAGTGTGAGAGTTCCAGTCATCACAAGTGGCACTTGTATTTTGGTAAAGCATTACCTTTTACATGACAAGTAAGTAACACATTATGTCTCACTACTGTATCTCACACAGATCCGCTACTGCCGTCAAAATGAATGAGCCCCCTTAATGTGCCTAAACAGCCTCCTCACAGCCACCGCTCTGCGATTCTGAGTGAGTCAATTGTCAGCGGTCATCAGGCAGCACCTTGTCCAGTCCAATCTCCTCTCCACTTCGCTCTCTGAAGCCGCAGGGCCAGCTGCGTCCAACTCGAGGGCCTCTTATCTACTGAGCCCCCGCTGCCATTGCCTTTGGCTGCCCTCCGGTCGTCTGTCTGGCCCTCAATATTTTTACAACACACACATATTTCTGGATAAATTTCTAGATAGAGACACCTGTTGTTGCACAACTCCACAGCCCTCTTTCTTTAAACAAAGTAGAACCCTGCGCGAGATGTAAGAGGGGGCGAAATTTCCCCCCCCCCCCCCCCCCCCCCCAGTGAGCCGTGCAATTAGCAGACCTGGTGAGGGGAGGTCGGCTCACGATGGCACGCTGGTGTATGTGGCCTGTATTCACCCGGACGCAGGGGATTCTGTCGGGTTTCAATTAATGAAGCCCGGCAATTAATTAATGTCAATGGGGGCGGAGTACAGTGGACAAGCAAAGATGGAGCGCTTTCTGCGTAAGGTTAAGAGACCAACATGTCTGTTTATTGTTCCTTGTTTTTGCCGTCTGCTCTTCAACTTATAGGCTAGCGAGATAAACGGCCTGCAGCAGCTTTCGTTTAAGAGTCGTCATAAAGAATGCTATAAATAAACCACTTTCACCATAAAGCTTGTCTTTTTTTTTACAGCCGTAGCTGCACGCCGTATCCGTACACTGCTGAATGTTAGTTTTAAAGTTGATAGTTTGCATTTCTTTGCATGACGTCGCTCTCGTTCTTGATCTCCAGTTTCCATTAACTTTTATTTTCTTCCCTTCACTCATCTCCGTTTTTTACACTGCCGTGATCTTTTCACAGATCCTCGCTTGAAGATAGATATTTCTGTCGCAAAGATACTAAATTAACGGCATGTCGGCAATTTTGCTGGGGATTTTTATTGCATGAAGAAATATTTTTTTAAAACTCATAAAATGCATAAGGTTTGCAGCTGCTCTGCCAGCTGGAGCACGCGAGTGGAGAAATAATTGACATCTCTAACAAGAAGAAAAATCTAATAAAAGTAACTTCTGTCTTTTCTGGAGGCCTTTTAACTTTGTGAAGATGTGGATTTAGCTCCTCTCCTTTTGGTGGTGTAATCAAACCTTCTGTGCAATCTCCTTCCTCCTTTTGCCCGCGTGTCTCGTCGAATGCCTGAAAGTGTGCACCCGGTTTGCCCGACCTGAAGTCTGCCTGTGCTGTGGAAAGTAGGCCATTCGGGCTGATGACACAGGTCCTGTGTGACGCTCGCTGACTCCGGAGCTCTCAAAGGTTTATTTCCGGATATTCAGCGCATCATCTGTTAACTCCGTTTGCCTGATGAATCTCGCGGCGTTACCGGTCGCAGATTAGAATCTGTCTTTTCCCACGGCGTTGGTTATGTAAGTCCGCGATGTCCTACTACGCCTTCAGTGGCTTGGTGCTGTGATTTGTACACGGTTATGAATTGTGACACAAGTTATTTGGTTGTCATCTCAATTATTCATACAAAACCTCCTGGTGGACGTGAAAATTGGGTTGTTGTGCTCTCTTCTGCATCACAAATCTTTCATTCTCTCAGAATAAAACTGAATAACATGAGGATGATGTGGAAATAGTTTCAGACCTGTGAATACGAGGGCAGTTGATGAAACACTTCTATTATTTATTGTTTTACTGTTTTTAGTCCCTTTTTATTCATAATTTAGTTAAACATTTGCTGTATTGTCTTTCCAAGATGTCATACGTATTATCTTTGTCTCACAACGTTTTGTTTGCTTTACTGAGTTTGGCTTTTTTTTTTGGCCTTTATGCTTTAATAAATTTTCTACATGTTTTATGCAACCTAGTCTACAAAACCGTACGAGAACCATGTGAATTTATTCATCCTTCGTCTCTCCCTCCCACACCGTGTTCGACATTACGAGATGCTGTTTTGTGCCGCTGTGCCACAGAGACCATGCATGAAATTTATTGGCCCAGAGTTCCGCCATTTGACACGCAAGACATGGCTAACAGATCTCGTGCCATTTCCCATCTCCTCCGGCTGCTGTGTAAAGCTGACCTTTCCTGCCTACGGGCTATATTTAAAGTCTAAGCACCAGAGACTTATGGCGCCATGGGAAATTTTATTATCAACGCTCTCCATTTGTCTGACTTAATTCAGGCGTGCCGCAGATCGCGCCAAAGTATGTCGTATATTTAAGCTCCGCTACGGCAAACAAGGGCATCGGTGAAAAGCCGGACCATCAACACCTTAGCGGGAGGGCAGGGGGGTAAAGGGGGGGGCATTTCTTTAACCAGTCATGAGATGATTCAGTCTGCATGAGGAAAAGTGTGAGAAAAATAAGGGCGAAAGCGCTGCGGTATTACTGCATGAAGCAGAGGATTTACTAGAGAGGCGATCACAAAGAGACTTGACATTTTAAAGCATCTCAGTGTTTAGAATGTCAGATTTTCACCCCAGATGCATCCGCTCTTACCGTTTTTTCGTCATTTAAGCAGACCGTAGGTGGAACGCGCGCACACACGTCTGCATCTCATTTTTTTCCGACTTTCCGTCCCACCGTCCGTTTGTTTGATCGTTCTCTGACGCTCTTTTTGTTTCCTGCTCTGTGGCAGGTATGACACAGGAGTTCAGAGGGTGCTCCAGGTAGATCTGAAGATGGAAATCTTCCCCGAGCCGCTGGGCAGCCGCTGGATGGCCTGGCAGGTGGAGTACCCTCCCAGTCGCACCGCCACACAGGAGGCGGAAACGGAGATCCAACTGGCGCAGGAGGACCTGGCGGGCATCGTGCCGCTGGCCATGGTGAGTCACGCCACTTCCAGCTCCATGCCAACAGCTTTTCAATGAAGAACCGTGTCAGTTAGTGCTTTGCGGGGGTGGAAACGGGAAACGAGAGGGAAATGTTGCACTTTTTCAGATTAAGATTTACCTTAAAAAAAACATGTGATGAGTTTATATTCCAAAAGGTCCTACTGTAGGAGCATGCTGGTTCTAACACCTGCCCAGCTCCTCAAACCTGAACAATTGTTATCAAAGGAAACCAGACATTCAGAACTCATAAGTACACTATTTCACATGCTAATGCATCCTTGACAATCCGACAAACGCTTTCTGCCTGCGGACTTTACTGTACCTTACTTCAGATGGCAGGACTTTTACTTGCAACAGAGCACTATTATGCTTTTGAGTAGAGGAACACAAACTCCGATCATTGCAGCTTGGCTGGAGAAGAGAGAGCTATAATGTGGGTTTATGTTTAGGAGCACGGCAGGAGGAGAGCGTCTGTAGCTCCCAGCAGGCCTCACATGGGGTCCAGAGCCTGTCTCTGTCCCACGGGTAAACCTGGAGCATGCGTGCCTCCGTCAGCAGGTACTCTGTTGTGTAGATTAAGCCAAACTCCCCCCCTTATAACTTCACATGGAGAGCTTTGTTTTTCCCGAACCAGAATGCAATGCTTCAGATTTAGATCAAGGGCATTCACGTGAGCAGATGAGCAACATCAATTTGCGTTGGCCTAAGAGAATGACATGCTGCCACATCAGCGCTCATTACCAAAACAAAATCTGCCTTTGTTTCTATTTCAGTTCCTGTGATCTATACGATACGGGCCCAACTGTTGTGTCAGTGTTGTTCTCTCTAAGTATTGCCGGTAGCTGTGCAGATGATGGCTGCATGTGGGTGGCTGTTCCTGGATTCAGAGGAACGTGGAGCTCCCTCACCCACTGATCCATTCTCCGGATAATTGAAGCGATGCGTTTAATGCCGCAGTATTGTTCGAGTTCCTTCTCTCGGATCCTTTTCCGTGGCACTGATGTATCAGCAGCGTGCTGTTGTCTAAGAATACATCGTCTGCTCCCACGCCTTCCACTGAGGAAAAAATTGGAAAGTTGATACGCATGATTATCTCGCAAAGGCTTTGCTCATAAAGCGAATTAAGAATGCGCCGTTATCTGCTCAATGAAAATCCTATTTGAAATAAAAATATTTGCTCGATTGACTGACTCTTTCTCGCAAGACAGAGGAGGAAACTCATCTTCTATTGTTTGTGTAAAAATAATTCTTTGAGTGCCAAAAATCTAACCTGCACTCCTCAATCAACCGTAGAACGGTCTGTTTTCATAATCTGCTCATTTTCACACAGAAGACTGGATTTTAATGTCTAGCCATTTATCATGTTCCTTTTTTTCTCACAGTGACAAATTCATCTCAATTAACCTGATATTACAGTTATTTGCGAGACTAAATCAATTTAAGGGCATGGTAATTTAGGCAGGAGCTTCTCATGAGATGAAGATGAACAGTGTTTCCCGAGTAACAAAAACTATTGTGTGTGTGTGTGTGTGTGTGTGTGTGTGTGTGTGTGTGTGTGTGTGTGTGTGTGTGCGCGTGTGCTGCATGAACGTGTGAGAAAATGCTGGACTTTTCCCTCCCCGGGCCTTGATGTGCTATTCCTGGACCTGTCAGTGAAGCAGCTGCTTTCACAACAGGCTGTTCTCGTGCAGTTTTTGTCGTTCTCCATGTGAAAATGAACTTACTTTCTATATATCCCGCAAAAATCATCTATTTTGTGTGTAATCCATTGAATCATGAACCAGGGAGCATAAAGACGCCACGAACCGAGCACCTTACCTTGTTTCCGTGGAAGCGCAAGGCTTATTTTAGAAAGTCAATGCGAGTTGAAAATGAGAAATAACTTTTTTTTAGATGTCATAGAATACACCAACATTTTAAACTGTTTCATGATCAGACCTTTACTGAAAAGAATGAATTCTGTTTCATTTCATTTCATTTCTACTTCTTTTTTTCTTCTGAGTGCTTCTGTCAGCGGCCGAGGTTTTTTAAAACTAAAAAGTGTGTTGCCAACAACGCCACCTAGGTAAAAGCTAAGAGCCCTAGGAACTCAAAATAATTAAAAAGGTTTGTTTGTTTGGGGGAAAGCAGTGAAACAATGACCCAAGAGGAGACAGGGGCGGAAACACTAATAAAAGAATATTTATTTTAATACAATGATTAAAATATATAAAAGGAAGCTAAAATAGTCCGTCCAAACTCATCACCACAGTAGAGCGAAGTCCTGCGCGTCCTTAGTCCACCGGTTCAGACGTCTCTGACTGCCAGTCAGTTTAAAAAGAAGTAGTCCCGCCCCTGGCCTTTCCCCATTGGGCATATGCCACTAATTGGTAACTTGTCACTGGGGACGATTGTTAATTGAGGATACAATGCAAACCAACACTCAAAGCACACAATAAATCGTTAAATCGAACATGCAAACAATCATAAATCAATAAGTCATAAAACATCAAAAAACATAAAATATGCAATCCATGAATCAACAAATACACAATCAATAAAACATCCATTGTCTCCAATCGTCCACCCCGTGACACTTCTACCAGAGAGATCTCCAGCCAGCCCACTTAATACACAGCACAAATACTGAAACATTCACAATTCATTACCACTGTCCCGGTCCCTATGTCCCCTTTTCTCTTTTTCTCACTCCTATGCAAAAACACACACACACACACACACACACACACACACACACACACACACACAGAATATAAGGCTTTTGCAATCTGCATGCACCAATATGAGAAGCATACAAGCGAGAAGGAGGAAGGCTGAATTAGATTACTCGGGATCACTGTGGCATGAAAGGCCCACAGATAAGTTCCTCTCCCTTCCCCCTGCTACACTCCTCGCTGATAGGAAAGAGGTAAGTAAGGTAGTGTAAGAGCAGCGCCGTCAACGCACAAACACACACACACACACACACACATCACCCTCCATCATCACCACGTTGCCTCCACCAAACGGGAAAACAAACTCCGGTTTGCCAATCGAAAAAATGCTTTCTGCACAAAGACCGGAATACTAAACTAAAGATGTAGATCCAAATGCTTGATATACAGTAAGTAATGTGAGCAACGTTTCTGAAATGTATCAACTTGGTACTTAGGGCAAACTTTAAGCATCACATATAGGGTTTGTAATCTTATTTCGCCGTCTCAGGATTGTGCTAAACCTGTCCAGTCATTAAATATGGCCTGGAGATAATGGTTAAACGAGCGAGCGACGTCTACCTGCGCATTGCTCCATTCACTCTGGTGAGTGTTTCACAAGCTACTGGCTTGACAGCTGTGAGAATTTACTACAGTCATCATCATTATTGAAGTTCATAATGATCATTTAGTGTGTCGTGGCTAGTACTGCTTTCACTGGAAGTCGGCGACACTGGGCGGTTTGGTAAAATGAGATGTGTATCCTTTATACATATGGAAATCCAGCGTGCAAGCCTGGTTTTAATCCTCACATACCTGGCAGAAGCACCGGCGTATCCTCTTTGTGCCCCACCCTGACCCTAATTTGGATCTCTGGGTCAAAGGAATGAGTAGAATATGGCTGAAGGCCGGAGCTTTATGTTTTGTGGATCAACAGCATTAGTAATCAATCAACGTTATTAATATAAAGTATTGCTTAATAGAACTTCTAGTCTTGTCTAGCTGAACTTGTAGGTACATTGTAGTAACACCGAATTCTCCACTCTTTTTTCATGTGACTTCATGCTGAAGGCATCTGTTGCCACATCGGCTCTCTGTTTTGGCTCTGTGAGGTAGTTCAATCTCCAATTAGCACAAATTACTGTCAAAAGCTAGCTGTATTTTGTTGAAATGGCAAAGCTGCTGTTTGTGTTTTAACCCAAAATGAATGTAATTTTCTGAACGACGCACCATAGCTGACTATGTCACACAACCGGGTTGTAATGTAATACAGGTAATGATGATTAAAACAAGGAAGCTTGTTTTGGATTTGATCATATTTATGGCCTATTACTTTAATGGCTTCTTAGACCTTTTCCCAGCCCATTTATGTCATGTTGTGAATTACTGCTCCCTTCCTGTAATCCCTCTGTCCATAAAAAGGTATTTTCATTGCATTTTCCCATCCAAGTGAGGGGCTCTGCCACAGGTGTCACCTCTGAGAAAACACAGTTTTGATGGAGGAAAACGCTCCCCTTTGAAGAGGTGCTCGTCCCGCGCGTTGCCACCGACCCGCCTGCATTGGGAAGCCTCGCAGCACCCATCAACCACTTTGTCACCAATTTCAAACCGCCAAGCGGGAGTTCTGCAAATACAGCAATTACTTCAAAAGCAGAAAATGAAAAGAACTCAAAAGGTTTTAGTCAGTTCGGAGCGAGGAGACGCCTCAGAACTGCCTTCCCTCTCTTGTCCTTTCTTTGTATCAATCTTTTACTTTATTTTCCCCGCCTCTCTTTCCCTACGTAGGTCTGCTTGCTCCAGACAAACATACATTAATGCATTAGCAATGTAGAATAATTGCCTCTCGGTCGCCTTCCGCCTACTTGCGTTGGCATCCTATGTTTCACTTTAAATGTCCAAGAGCTGTGGGTTTTTTGGAGGGTCATCTTGAGATGGATCTCAACGGCAGGAATTGGATACCTGAGCATATTCCTCATCACAGTAGGAGGCTGGCCCATTATCTTTTACCATCGTGAAGTAATATGCTCCTGTCCAGGCTGCCCTCATCATCATTACCCCTGCTGCGGATGCCCGGTGATGGAGAGGGAGCAGGAGGACAGGGCATACATCATATCTGGACTCATCAGTCTTCCTGTTCCAGCCGAGACACCAAACTGTGCTCACTCACACGAGCATCCGAGGGGCCACGGTGATGAGGAGAAATGAAAGCAGCCGTTTGTATTCACGTTCTGCTCCAATGTATCGTTAAACAATACATCATCACTCCGGCCTTCTCTGGCCACTTCTGCTCTCCCATGA